CATGGCAGATCCCATGGGATGCAGAGCCTTGGGAAGGGGTTTCTGAGTTGCTGTCTGTGCTTTCCTTGCAGGAGGTGCCCCGGCATGGCAGATCCCGTGGGATGCAGAGCCCCGGGAAGGGGTTCCCAAAGTTCTGTCTGTGTTTGCCTTGTAGGAGGTTCCCCAGCATGGCAGACCCCATGGGATGCAGAGCCTTGGGAAGTGGTTTCTGAAGCTCTGCCTGTGCTTTCCTTGCAGGAGGTGCCCCAGCATAGCATGAGAGCCATCCCCGGTGTGGGCCATGCCCTTCCCCAACGCCTCTGATCCGCACCCGTCCTTCTTGCTGGCGTCGCTGCCGGGCCCGGAGGGCGCCCAGGCCTCTTTGGCGGCGCTGCTGTGCGGGGCCTACGCTCTGGCGGTGGCGGGGAACGGGGCGGTGCTGCTGGCGGTGCGGCTGGAGCCCGGCCTGCACACACCCATGTACCTGCTGCTCTGCATGCTGGCCGCCCTGGACCTGGCGCTGGCCACCTCGGCCGTGCCGCGGGCCCTGGCCTTCTACTGGCTCGGGGCGCGGGAGATCGGCTTCGGCGCCTGCCTGCTGCAGATGTTCCTCATCCACGCCCTGTCGGCCGCCGAGTCGGCCGTGCTGCTGGCCATGGCCGTGGACCGCTACGTGGCCGTGTGCCACCCGCTGCGCCACGCCGCCGTGCTCACCAACACCCACACCGCCCGCCTGGGCCTGGCCGCCCTGGCCCGGGGAGCGCTCTTCTTCCTGCCCCTGCCCCTGCTCCTGCTGCCCCTGCCCTTCTGCGGCTCCCGCGCGCTGTCCCACTCCTTCTGCCTGCACCAGGACGTGATGAACCTGGCCTGCGCCAACACAGCCCCCAGCGTGGTGTACGGGCTGGCCGCCGTCCTGCTGGTCATGGGGCTGGACGCCGTCCTCATCTGCCTCTCCTACCTCCTCATCCTCGGGGCCGTGCTGCGCCTGCGGGCCCGGCGTGAGCGGCTCAAGGTGTTCGGCACCTGCGTGGCCCACGTCTGCGCCGTCCTGGCCTTCTACGTGCCCCTCATCGGGCTGTCCCTGGTGCACAGGTTCGGGAGGGACCTGGCGCCGCTGGTCCACGTCACCATGGGGAACGTCTACATCCTGGTGCCCGCCGTGCTCAACCCCATCATCTACGGGGTGAGGACCAAGCAGATACGGAGGAGGATCTTGAGCCTGATCCGGGTCGGCGACAGGAGTTCCCAGTGACCTGTGCTCGGTGCTGTCCCGTGTCAGTGACAGGAGTTCCCAGTGACCTGTGCTCGGTGCTGTCCCGTGTCAGTGACAGGAGTTCCCAGTGACCTGTGCTCGGTGCTGTCCCGTGTCCTCATTGCTCACGTTCCACCCTCGGTGTCCTCTGGGTGCACCCCGAGGTGCTGCCAGGAGGCAAAAGGTAAAGAGTGACTACAAACTCCTTGCCCTCATCAAACTTGGAGAGAATCCATTCCAGCGATCTAAACCCAGGCCTGGCTGAGCGGGTTCTGCAATTGGAAGGAAAAGTGACTCAACAAACTGATGAAAATATCTCGACATTGCACTTCTTTGTTCCCATCTCACCCGTGACAGGCAGAGCAGATGCTGCAGTGGTTTGGGGTGATTTTGTGAATTCATCGTTTCCACATGTGGCACATTCACATTCCAGAACTTCTTCCAGAAACTTTGGCCACAGCATCAATGCCCAAGTAAAATAACAACAACATGTTACATTGCAGATGCACAAATGAGCTTCAGAAGAGGAACCTCCACCCCTGGGGTCCTGTTCTGAGGTGCTGGGTGCTCAGTGAAGACCCCTCAGCCTTCTCGTAGCAGATGCTCTGGAAAAAATTTCAGACAGTGTAAAAATAATTTGGTTTGAATTATATTCAATAAAACAGCATCATCTCAGGGGAAAAAAAAATAAGCAAGTTATAAATGTCAATTATAGTTCCAAGCTGAAGGAAGTCTCATTTCCAAATCAAAGGTGTTTCATACCTTTGACTCCACACTGGGAATACCTAAGAAGTTATGAATTAAGTTCAAAATCTTCAGCTTTTGAGCTTGTTTAATACTTCATGGGTGTTGCCAGGAAACAGAGAACCCAACAGCCTTTGCTCTCCTTGTTCTCATGACTCTTCCACCTGTGGGCCACTACAACAAAGCTCTGTTGGTACAGTGAAAATCAGCAAGACTTGGGAATTATGGAGAAGGACTGAGAGCAAACTGCATTTATTTTCATGCCACCAGAGAATCAAGGGATGGTTGAGGTTCGTGGCACCTCTGAAGTTCATCTTCTCTGCAGGTCCCAGATCAAGCAGGGTCAGCAGGACAGTGGGTTACCCAGGACAGTGCCCAGACAGCCTTTGAATATCTCCAAGGATGGAGACACTGCTTCATATTTTGGGAGAGGCTGAAGAACCTGGGAAGGGATGTTGTACAGCAGGATTTTACAAAGAATCACAGATGTGAAGGGCGGTCACTTCTGGGTTTTGCCCTAATGAT